GTGAATTTATTTTAGTTTTTGGAAATCAAACAAATCTGGCGTCACATTCTCTGCCGTTTTGTCCATAATCAAGACCACCCGTCACATTCAACCAGGCACAGCCAATGGTACTTCAGAATTAAAAAAATTCCGAAGTAGTTTAAATCACATGTGAGTCTGAGCGAATCAGTTGCCGAATTGGTGATCGCACCATATTTCAAAAAACATGGAATGATGCAGACTTTTGTCACAGACAAGGTAGCTCATAAAATTTGATGATTACTAGAATTGATGCAGTGATTTTTAAATTATCTGTGGATAAAGACCACTTTATGGTACATCGAAGGTCATCTGCTCAAGTTGACGATCGATGAGCTTATGATTCATTGGTCACACGTTGGTTGCTTTCAGATTCCATCATTGGATTGCAGCGGATCAACAACGATCGCGCCTGAGTAAAACTTGTTAACTGACCTGACGGTGACAATGACTCATCCCATTTCCACTGGTTACTGTTGCCAGACTCCAGTCATCCACACACTTAGCTTGCGTGACACTAATAAACGGTCGTGTCCTCTGTCGCCTCTCTTCTTTCCATTCTCGTGTTGCTGCGGGCCGTTAACTGGAAGGTTGTAAGGCAGTGCTAGACACAAGCGACTACAAGCTCGGGCTTAATAAGCGCGCGATACGTTTGTCTGCTTTCTCCAGCCGTATATTCGTCATCTTTCTGAAGATTGGATTCAATGTGTGTCAATGAACGGCAGGACTGTAAATTATCTGCACTTGCCTTGCAGTTTACAAGTGATTGGTAGATTACATTTGGCATCACAGCTCCACTCTAGTAACTACTGCGCAAAAGATAAGATTGTCCGAGTCCTTTGCCAACTATATACTGAGTGCCTACATTAGCACGATCATTAATATGATCCAAATCTAAAGATATCAGGAGATGTCCAGTGATGTTGATTTAAGCGTCATTTAGTGACTTGATTAGTGTGAAATGTGTCGGCAGCCAAGCACCAAACACAGGCAATATCGCACTTGGTCCAATTAAATAAAACCAAATTTCAACCATCTATTGAAAAAAATCGATATTATTGGATACCCAATCACTACGACAAGCTTTACTACTTATAAAGTAAGGACATTATCACTCAAAGTAGATCGACTTGAAGGTCATTTCACTGATATCAATGCTACATATTAATACATTCACACAGTGTTCCTGTCGAAATTGAACCTCCAGCCTTAGACATTAATACAAAACAGCAGGTAGTAAGGTGAAGACGTGACTTGACATGATTAGGCCACTCCTTACTTCATTTTTCCTCGGATATTTTGCGTAACGATTGTGTTTTATGGCTAACAAGAAACAACCGCAAACTTCCAAAAGTTAGTGATGCAACTGATCGATATCAGCAGGGTGTCGCGCGTACTGGCTTACATCATGCCACACCCAGAAATGCCTGTTTCGCACACACACACACACACCTACAGAGCCGAGTGGTGGTAGGCGATGGAGCAAAACCACGAGCGCACACACGCACGCACGCGCGCGCCACACTTCGTGGTGACACCTTTTTTCACTCTGACGTGAAAACCACGTCGCCAGACCCTTCTTTGGGTGCAAATCGGTTGAAACTCCATCAAAATTGGACATTTTACTCAATAAATGATGGCTGTGATGTTGGGATTGGTACCACGTTTGTGTTTGGTAGATTTGGCATACTCAGAAATCAGGTCAACTCTCTTGTTAAATGTGGGATAGTTGCCGCGGCGTTCCAGGGTGACCAACGTGATCCCCTAAACATCGATGTGTCTCCCCTCTCCATGTTTAACACATTTTATTCCGAAAAAATTCTCGGTTTTTAAACTCTTTGACGCTATTCAAGCGAATTTAAAGAATTTTGTGTTGTTGTTCAGTTGTCCGAGCTTCCAGTTGCCAGCATTCGAAGAACCATCCAAGTAAACCAATCGACTTGACAGGGTAAACTACATACGTTAGCGAGACCAATAAACATCAATTTTGGGGTTACGTGAAATTGGAGGTAAACACGAATTTGGTTCGCTCCACATGAATCCACTGTGGTTCAAAACCTCCGAAATCAGAGGCGGATATTATTCTTAAAGCTCAGGTCGTTGAACAAGGTCCGCACGCCTTGTTTGAGAGGGTTTGATCAAAGGAAGACGATGCGCCGTCGAGGTAGTAAGGAGCAGGACGTTGGTGGACTAGTTAAAATGACACATGGAAGATTTTGCCGGTGAGGTCTCTACGGCACATTCTGGACGGAAATACCTTGAAGGGGCAGCATGAGGGACGTGGACAGGAAGCCTTCTGGCAGCAGCCCAGCCGGCTTTGCCAATTTACGATCAGTAGCATGTGGTGCCGTAGTCACCGCTGTGGGTCACGTGACCTCGTGCAGATGTTGCGCAAAATGGCGAAACCATGAATTTGGCAAGCGGTTTATGACTGACGTGTGGCGGTCGACAGGGCGCTGGAGGTGGTAGTGGATGCAGATTCTGGAATGCCACTGAACCCACACGACTTCTGCTGAAGGTCTCCAATGGATGGTGTGGTTTGAGGTGATTTCTGAGTTGCTCTGTTGAGGGGGATAACTAGCAGATGACTATAGTATTACTCTTGATCTGCGTGGAATTGTAGAAGTGTGCTGATTTGTTGTTTGATTCGTTCGGTGGAGTCAAAATCTATTTGCAGATTTAATGTACTCGGCTTGAATGACGGTATACGTTGGACTAGTTAATGTTAAATTAACTTACCCATCTTACATGATACATGGTGATTTATTTATTGTAGCGTCGTAGCCGTAACGTGGAAATAGTTTACAATAAGTCAGAATGAAGTGCAAAGGAGAGGCGTCAGATTGCATAAAGCGGATAACTACATCAATAGGCATCTGGGTTGGAAGTTGCGTCTTCGAGCGACATGGCTGGCAAGGATCACTTGGCCACATTTTATCTAACGGCCACACGAATTTTACGCGTTGGTTTAAATTCTATTGCTTTTTAGTTAATCTCTATCAAGGCTTTCCGTCATGCACAGCCCAGTAGCTTCCCCCTCTACCGAACCCTTTCAAAAAAGCCCTCTGGTCGTGTCGGATAAGGCCTGCTTTCGATCGCGAGCTGGTAGTCACGCGCACGTCACTCAGATCACATGATCCCGATCAAAGTGCAGAGCACCACATTCAGCGCAAGGGCAAGACTGCGCGGCCGCCCTGTCTTGTCTGGCCGCCGTTGTATTTGCATCGACCGTCTGGCTCAATGACTAATCGCTTTCCCAACGCATAACCGACAGCATATGTACCCGTTGACAGGTAATTTTATTTACTTGGTATTCCTTTGACTAGTGAAGGTCAAACTACCTTTTCAGCACTTTCGATACCTTCATGAAGGTCAGCAAATAACGATCTCTGTTCTCTGCTAGACGTTGGTTGCAGGTTTGAGGTGGATTTCAGCTGCTAGCACGTCCTCGACCCCTTTCCTCCCCGAATTCCCACACTTCCAAGAGCTTTAGATCACCCACTTCAACGAACATCAAGGAGCCTGATGTCGACCCACCAACGTGGACGCAGAAGTGCCTCTCAAATCAACCCTGGCTTAATTTAGACACTTCAAACGAAAGGGTTTGATAAAGTACACTTCGACAGCGCTGGATCATAATTACGCTTCGAAGCGTCCACAAACTGCCAATTTGCAATCTTAAAATATGGAGCATCGGCACTAGAACAGCTACGGAAATGTTCGCGTTATTTGTAGTCTCCTTCACTATAAATACAACTCGAGGAACACAAATCGAGTCTAAACTGCTCCTACGTCTTACTCGACTCGTGAGAAATAACTGCAATCGAACGACGGGTTACCGCCTTATATCAAACACTCAGTACCAAATTAGGATTCGGCCAGAAGAAAAGGAAGACGTAGTTCTTAGAACAAGGCATGGACTTCGTAGAAACTTCTTCCCCGCGACATTGCAACCGTCATGGTGTGACGCGCGCCATTCGACCCACGCACGCCGGTCTGGCCTGTTCTTTGTCCCCCCTTCCCTTCCCACACTCTCGCCTTCCTCAAGGCACGCCCGTGAGTCCGAGGGCAACGCCAACCCTCCTCGCGGCCATCCCTCTCCCCGCTCTAACTCTCCCAAAGCTCTAGCCCTCTGAGTTTGCCTACGGTAGTATGGAATACACCCGGTTCTTCCAGCTTTTCTTCTATCGTGTGCCTGGTAGCTAACCATGATGGTGTGGCTATCTAAGAGGGACGGGCTAACAGTCATCTCCCTATTTAGGTCCCCGCTCGGTAGGCGCGTTAAAATGGCTGCGTCGATCTCATCGATTCACTAGTTGACACTGAATCCTCTCATTGGCGATCAACTCAGTTACGTGAAATTTACTCGACTTCTGTTAAACCTTTCACGAATAGACCTCAGTTAATCAAAGCTAACAAACTACCACATTTGTGTGTCCTGAAACGACCTCTGCAACACGCAGAACCGAGTCACCAGACCGGTCGTACATGACCAGCATAACGATGCATCGAGAACGCGACTAACACATTCCGTGGACAGCGTTGGGAATTTGGCGTCGAAGGCAGGCGGCCACTGTCTCCAACGTTGAATCTGTTGGCGCGTGATGACATCAATCGAAGTATTTAGCCGATGGAACGCCTACTACGGCCAGCAGCAGCTTGACATGCGGAGGTTTAAACCATAGCGTCACAAACCAGAATGGTGCATATTTAGTGTTGTGAAGACAATTACACGGTCCGTTAAACCAAACAAGCCATGCGCCTTTTTGAACTAAATTGTGTGTCCTTAATTCGCAGGACATGACGACGATGCTTGCTGCGTTAAAACTGCCACACTCGATTAATTCACGGTCGGTTTAATTGTACCAGGCGCTCGGCAAAACATTATTGATTAACAAACCAAGCAAACTTCCACCTGCCCTCTCAATCCAAGCATCATTGAAGTTGGTGGTTTGTACATTAATTGACGCTAAAAATAGACCTCATAGAGAGCGCAGGTGGAATGTGATTGGCTGATGCATTGCGTCGGTGTAGAGGGACGACAAGGATTTTTTGGAACTAGTGGTGAGTCTAGAGGTAAAAAGAACGATGAAGTGGAGATCAGTGTGTGCAGTTCACATAGCCCCACGCATGTCTACCGTGGCTCACGTGCGTGGGAATATGTGAGAACCATTTCTGCGTCTATTTGCAACGGAGGCGCAAGCCGCTGTCATTAAACCACCTCAAATAACTAGTTTTCTGGGTTAGCGGTTTCAAGGGGAAATTAACCCCACCATTCAAGACATCCCTTCTAGTAGTTGTGACTCTTTAGGCTAAGATTGTGACCCCTTACACAGAACACCAGCTAGACTCGTCTCCGACTAACTCCAAAATGATCGTGCGTACTCCCCGCAGGATCCAATTTTGTGCCAAAAATTATGATCCAGTTAAATTTGCGCCGAATCAGGCAGAAGGCATTACTGCGCGTCCACTAAGCTAACAGATTACCAGGCATGGCAGTTTAGTGCTGTTGATTACAAGTTCCGAAAGTAGCTGGCTGATTGTAAGGACATCTGAGCCACAATCAGTTTACTGTGGAGTTCATGGCACGTGACTACGAACAACGCCTTACTCCGAATCTTTGGGGTGAGATAGACTTAGCAACGGTGGAAATACCACGCACACTTAATCGGCACACACACACACAACGCTAGAATCATTAAGCTAAGTACGTAAATACAGAGCATTTACAACCAACAGCAAATGAAAGTCGTGAACGAGGTAAGCATGAGTCGAAAACCATTGGCAAGGCAATGACTGGGTACGTTATTTTAACTAATCCAGAGCATCCGTCAACATGTTTGGTGGTGGATGGTGAAAATCCCAATCAAACGGCTTAAAATGTTCCCGGTGTTAACGGTAGATACCCTTTCAGATAGCGCAGACTGAAAGCGCTTGGGAACTCGTGTGTTCTATCGGGAGACGATCATCTGGTAAGAAACCTCCCAGTAGTTTTACCGCTGTCGGTCATGGTCACATGGATACTCACCCGACTTTTACGGAAATGGACTAATACTAAATAATTGCAAAAAAGACAAAAACGTATTTTAACAAGGTCGTCATTTTGGCACATAGTGTGCCCAAACTAAACTCCTTATTCCCCTAGTTAGGGGTAGCAACCGTCGACTAAATTTGGCCGAGTACTCCTTGAACATACATACGAGGAAATGCTTCGGCAATAACCAACATCATTACTTTCCACACACCCTGATAAGTAGATACAAAATCGCGAATAGCGTCAACGACCCAACACAATTTGCACGGATATTGCTAGGTAATCGTGACGCGATTCCCCGAACTAATTACGAAGAAACTATGCCATTTAAATACATGCATTTCTGTAACAAAATAGTGTACAGTAGCGACAGTGGGACGGGGAACTACGACGCAGATCAAAAAAACTAGTCAAATAAAGGTAAACTAGTCATACGTTGGCGAGTGCATCACATAATCCCTTGGACTTTTCTCTTAAACAGGCATCCAGACGTTACCTTGACGATGGCTGGTAATATTGAAGGCCGTTAAAAACTGCCTGTCCCTGGCTACAGGCACCATTTTGGTACATAATCGGTTGTGGAAGTTGGTTTTGGGGCTGCAGGTGCCAGGCGGCGAGAATCTGGTATTGCCGCAGGAATTGATCAGTCATGGGCATCGTCTTACTCTGCTGCTGCGGTATTGGTGGTGGCAACGGCCTTTGGTGTAAAATATCGACAGCGGGGCTAGACAAATAGCCGTTGAGAAATTTAGGCGGATTAGCAAATCCGTGCATGGGAGTTTCGGCGTGATGGTGCGGCGAAAATGAGGGGGTAGGCACGCCTAAAAGCGGTATCTGACGCTGCCTTGGTTGACTAAGAGGATGGTAGATATGGGTCTCACGTTCAAGATGAGATGGAATAGACAAAGCTGCAGTGGGAATTGACATCAAGGGAATGGCTGCGGGTTGATGGGACGGCTTAGTTGAGACAGCGGAGGCGGATTGTGACGGAGGTGTGACGTCATTCAGAGTCTGATTAGTTTCTTGGTCGTTAGGCTTGACCGGTCCTTCGTTATTATCACCCTTACTTGGTGTGATACCGTCATTCGTGAAATCCTCAGATACCTTCACAGAGTCCTCTGACTCGGATCCCATAATTCGACGACGAGCAGCCGCGTAATCCGCTTCCCTTTGTTTAAATGTTTTCGAACGAACAGGGGGCCTGGAATGGCAAAGAAATATAACAGAGGAGAAACCACACGAAGGAAGCGGCGGTCCTACTTACTAAAAAAGTGCACCACTGGAAACATATTACAGGCACTGTATACTAAAGTGGGGAATTAATCATTAAAACCTCTTCTAACAAGGACAAGAGCCATATGTGAACGGCAACTTTATAGTGTTAAAAATCCAACGCATATACAATTAACGCACAGGCGTCGTAAGATTTAAGCCCACATTACATGTAGACAATAGACATTGCAATCGATATGTGTAAAACTAGAAGCGTGACACTTACGGAGCATTGCCTTCAGCTGACTGGCTAACTTGCGAAGTAGGTCTTCGCAAAATACGTATGGGTGGGGGGTTCATAAAGACTAGCTTCGGGACACTATCTATGGCTCAATGTATATTCATTTTTAGACCAAGTAGTTCCCGCAGCTCATGACGACACAGCGATTAAGCTCGAGCCCATATTGGACAAGGCACCCATTGGCAAAACCTGCGGCCCTAGAGGACAGAAAAGTGACAACAGTTTAAACAAAAAGCATTCAAATCAAATATTTTTTTTAAAAGTTAAATATATACCCATAGCATGCATTATTTTGCCTTTTATAATTTTTTTTCACTTTAGTTTTGCATGTTTTAAGGTAAACTTTCAATTTTTTTATGATGCATAGAACTCATCCACAAATTTCTAACTTCCATTCATTTACAAAGGGTTAGAACAAATATTTTTAGTATATTTTATGTAAAAAACCTCGATTATTAGTGTGGGTTGGATTTAAACTTCAATATTTTTATTAAGAGCATATTTTACGATTTATCAAACGGAGTTTTAATTTTAGCAGATACACGTAATCCTTATTTCTCGTCTCTTATCAGTGTGAAGTTATGTAAGTCGATAAATTTTTCCAAAGGTTGTACGCATCTTGTTTGCACCACAAATAAAACAATTTGCAGCTATTTCCAAGACCAAGTAAAAATGAAAATTGAAATGGGGAATCAATGGTTCACAGGACAAATTAAACACCTAATATGTGTTTTATGTCCTCATTAAACAACTATAGGCTTATGAATGTACTTAAATAATGAAATGATCGAATTTTATTGTCTTGGGTACAGACATGCACATGTAACCAAAATAGATTTGTCCACCCAAGCAGTAAACACGATGAAGCGATGAGAAGGTACGTTGCAGAGTCAATATACATACACAAACCTGATGAACTAAAATGGTTTTATCGTTCTTTAAATTTCATCAAATAGTGTTTATTACTGGTAACCAATTGCATTGGCATAGCGCTTTGAGGAGTGATTTCGTGAACCCGATACTTAGTCATCAGAATAGCGTATTTAGAAACACTTTCTGTTTAATTGGAGAGGTTGATAGGTTACTAGCACTACAAGTCAGTGCCTCTATAATCGAATAAAATGAAGGCTTTTAATCTATTAGTTATTTATATGTTATGTTAGTCAACGATGCCATGGAGACGATCGCTTGCACTTTGCCTTAGCTTAACTTAAATGAGTGGCAATATTTCTAAACCTACGACAATTTTATTCAACCTCTAAAGGCATCGGATAGGAGTGATGAAGAGCACACAATTGTGTATTGATTTTTAGTCAAGTTTGATGCATAAATGAAGAATTACAGGAGAAACCATGGCAGTGATTGTTGCAGAAACTGAGCATTTAAATGCAGAGGGTGGACATATGTGGTCTAAGTCCCAGAAGGTTCATCAGTATCTTGGAACGGATTGTGAAGTTCATTCCATAATCTTGATATCTGTGAGTTGCTTCTGCTAATTTCAATTAAGGCTAATTCTCTAGGTTACTTGAGAATATAGCTAATCATGTGGCTTTACTGCCCTCATCACAAATCATGCATGACCGCATCACATTTTTACCCATCCCCTGTGACCAACCCGGTCCAAACCAAAATTGACTTTAAACCCCCTATGGCAAGAGTAGTCTAGTTCCGTTTAACCGCCTTGTCAGCACTCAGTGACCCACGTTGCAGGATGCTCACTCATACGACCTATAAATGAGCCGATGGAGCAACGGTTTGAAGCAAATTAAGTAAGCATTTTTGTCACCGTTGACATTCTTCCCCGGAAGTTCGATTTTTGATCTAAGTTCACCTTCGACAGTAACTCTAAGTCGTCTTCGGCGCCACCAAATGTCGTCGATTCAGTCCAAATATCGTTATATCAGCCCACTTTGTGCGCCTTCGCCCTGTGCTAGTGCCAATAAGTCATGTTAGCACAGGGTATTCTTGGATTGGTGGAAAGGATCGCATTATCTCCCAGCATATACACTCCTGAATTGCCCAATGATTATCTGGGAAATATTGACATTTAATACAAAAAAAGGTGTCAAGGGTTCAGTATTTTCTTGAATCTCTGCCTCTGGCCGATTGTGATCTGAGCGTGGTGGCCTTGCGCGCTGACGAAGCGGACCGCATGGGGGTCCTTGCAGGCCCAGTTGTCTGGCGTTGAGAGATGGTCTTCCGACTGCGCGCTGGAGAGGCCTTGCTCTCCGAAGAGTCGACGTCCAGTGGGTCATCTAAGAATTATCTTCTCAGTTAACGTGGAACATTCTTACAGCCAACTACATTTCTTGGAAATACTTTAAACCTCACTGTGGTTTACCCGAAGAGGTCTAGTGGTGGCACAAGTGACGTCAACTCACAGTTTGGTAGTGGTGGAAGCGCCTGCAACTGAAGGTTCGGCAGTGCAGGCCTTGGAGGAACCCAAAGTGGCGTCGGCTGCGCAAACGACCTGCTCAAACCAGGCTCCAGTGGCGTCGAAGAGTGAACGAGGATCTGTTGAACTCTCTGGATGATGACAGTTTCTGGATTTGGCACAAGCCATGCATCCACACCAAGCAGCCTTCCAAGGTTATTTCGGAAATTGAGTAGCTTTAAAAGAAACCGTTACATTCATTAAGTGTGGTGACTTTGATGTTCTTGCTTAAAATTGCTTAAAAACGGTTATTAGCGCGGTTATTAACTATTCCTCGCTTCTATATGTCTAAAATAAAATGTCAAAGGATTTCATTAAAACTCTACTTTAGAAAAAAATCATAATTTCAGAATTTTAATGGGTAAAAAACCTTACTGGTCAGTTTGCAATTAAACAAACCTGATTGGTTGATCTTGGAACATTTAAACAAAAACTAAATGCGCATTCCCAATTGATCGCATCGCACAATCTAATCGATATTCCCTGCTACCCTTCACAGCAGTTGCAAAACTAATCGATTGGTGCACGCAGCTGAAACAATTGTACCCTCGTGTCATATTACTGATTTAGCTTGTCTTGCTTTTCCCGGACCACCACGCAGCGTTCCTTGAGCAAATTTAATAACACCCTTTCAAAATCACGTACGTGTAACTGCTTCTGTCGGTTCTCGACCAAGAAGCTTTTGGCTGCGTTTAGCTGCTGGTCTTTCTGGGCTTCTGACGCATTCATCTTCTGCGTCTTCGACTGCAAACCTGCAATGCGCTTCGCCTGATGCTGCCTCAACGCCTCCATCTTCGTCACCATTCGCTCCAACTTCTCATATTCCTCATCCTATGCAGCAATAATGTTAACATAATGAATGATTGGCCATTACAAGGAGGCACGCTATTGGTCGATTTTGTGCAAACTGCACTTTCGTTGCCTATGTTCGGTTTTTGGTCAAATTTTCGATTATTGATCGAAAATCGAAGTAGCTTCATTTGGTAAGCCTTCATTTCCAACCCTTTTTGTCTACTTTAAATCTCCACTTTGGCTCAGAACTTAGTAACTTCCGAAGTGAGAACCCCTAAGCAACCATGTTAGGAAATTGCTATCTCCGCGCCCGCTTAAGATATCCAACCTGGCGACCGGTTATACCTTTTCGCTCTCCATTTTCAGAATCTTCTCGTGTAGACCTTCCATCTCTCGCTTTGCAGCCTCCAACTGCTCCGCAAGCGCTTTCTCTCGGTGCTCCGATGCAGGCAGCCCAGCCACGGCCTCACGCAGTCGATTTCGCAGGGCCTCTGTCAGACAGGACAGACAGCTACGACATAAGGTTTGCGCGCGCCTCTGCTCAAGGTCAGTCCAGTCTGGTGCGCGATTGGCCAGCTCAAAGGGGGTCGTGTTCATTCGAGCGCAGCTCTGGCAGTCGGCACCAATCGCGTGCTCCGATGCAGCCGATGGTTGAGAAGGCCTAGAATAAGTTTGCCACCTTGTGTGTTTAAACAGAGTACCGATATCATCAAATTTTGGTGCATTCTCCGACACCCGATTAGACTAAATATCAGTCTTAGTTCGCCACTAAGCAATGGGAAAGGACATTTAATAAAAGTACTTTTGAGTTTACGACTTACTCATGCTTGTGGGACCCGTCTCGGTGGACGTGATTGGTGTGATTTTCCTGTTTTGCAGTTAGCTGCGTCGAAGGTTTCGTCTTAGCTCCTAGAATATTAATGCACTCCTTCGATATGCAGCCCCGATCGATAAGTTCGGTGACCATGGCTAGAATTTTAATAAAAAAAGGTGAATAGAATCGAAAAGCTTGAGGAATGCAATCGGTTTGTTGGAGACGCTGAGTTGACTGGAAGCTTTCCATGGGCGGAAATGGGTATATTTAAATAAACGGGAAGTCAAAATGTCCGCATAATTCTCGCTGAAATTATCGATTAGAGACCCACCTGCAATCTGATTGGCTAACTCTGGATGCGAACTCCTCGAACAGGGTATATTGAGCCTCTCGCACGCGATTACGAGGTTATTGACGATCTAAAATTATTAAAACATCTCCCTAGTTGCAATTTCGACTGATTTCCAAATCGACATTGATTTTAAATTGATTAGATTATGAACTTGAATGTACAAATTGATTTTTGTAGTCCAGTAATCGTTGAAGACAGGTTCCGTGCATTTTGCGTCAATCCGCTTTCATCCATCAGGTCCAGATCACCCCCGACATTTGGACAGATCACTCGCCCTTTAGCTGACATGATCAAAGCTCTCTGCACGAGTTCTAGTTTTGTTCTTGCAATTGGCGTGGGAAGGCGTGTTCTATCATCAACAAGGGATCTGGTACCGTTATCTGACTTGGTTTCTCATGGTTACGAGCAAACGTAACACAAGCTGGCAGCCTCAGATCGTGCCGTTTACGTTAACACCACGATAACCAATCAGCTTTAGAGAATAGAGAGAAAGATCTAGCCCTCTGTCAAGCGTGCACATTAAATATCAAAAAAATTATTGATTCCCTGTCATTTCAAAATTTACTGGCTAGTTGAGTAGGGAGATTGTTGCGTAACACATGAGCATGGTTCTGAATTTTCCATGTAAATCTACCAGAGCAAGTTAAACTAGTGCCAAAAGGGAATCACACCTGTGGAGGGAACTGCCTGTGACCGCTCATCAGCCTGAAACCCTCCAATTCACCCTGTGCGCGGCTGTTCACCGCCCGTTCCTGCTCCAAGTCCCGTCTGACGGCCTCCAACTCCTCCGCCAGCGCCTGCCCGTTCGTGAACTGAAACTCAAATTGTCTGTGGAGACTTTCAACCTTCTCCTCCAGTTCACTCTCAGTCTGTAAAAGATTTTACCCAAAAATGTGGTGTAAAAGCCAATTTTGATTGGTTGATCGGTGACCCGCTTGCACTCAGTTATTCCGATTTGCGCATACAGGGATTACTGGTGTGAATACAGAGTGTCTCATAGTTAAGACTGGTTCAAGCAGGTCCTACTGAAGAGCTAAACGTGGAGTGTGCTAATTCACCAATCCTGTCAAGGATGAGTCATAGTTCGACCTACTCGTTTGAGGGCCTGGAGTTCTGCGGTGACCCTTGACACGGCCTCCTTCACGCCAGATTCTGTCGGCGAACACGGACACCCAACTGTGCTCAAAGACGCTGCCAAACATTCACTGAAAAGTGAAAAAAAAACGTCTTTTACCGTCGCAGTGAACAATTCGTTTTGTACACATCGGCTTCCAAACTTGTCCATGGCAACTGACTTTGATTTCAACCATGTTTGAACCCATAAAAGTCGATCAATAGTTGATGTTCAGTCTAATTTTGCTAAATCTGCTGTAGCAGCGCAGGAATTGTCTGAGTTGACCAATCAAAAGACGCACACGAGGGTTGTGAACTGGACTGCATGTGAATTGCGTTCGAGGAGGTGCTGCTGGCTTTCCACGTGGGCCTGACGCGCGCGATCGCACTCTGTGGCGAGTTCATCTCGTAGTTCGGCGAGCCGTCTCTCCTGAGCCGAAATTCTCTGTTCTAGGAGACCCCTGGTGGCCGAGAAATCGGCCTTTTCTGCTGCCAACATGGACACCTCCTAAAGCATAGGTACGCAGTGTTGAGGGATATCGATCCTTGCAAGTATTAAAATAACCAGAATCTCTCATAGCCTTGAATCCTTGTCTAACACTTTTTGAGTTCTAACGATCAAATAATAACTTAAAATGACGATAAATGCGATGATTAAGCAATGGGCCAATCAAGTGCTTTCAAAAATAAATTTCTTGCAATGTTAACCAATAGCTTTTCTCTATTCGTGCCGGTAGCCAATTAAAACTCACATTGATTAAACAGGTTGTGCTTTGTGACCGAATTATTACAAAATCAAATCTTCAGACTAGCAACTTCCAAGTAGGTGATTCGGCCATAGTTGCTTTAATTAATAACAGCGATCAAACACTACTACAAATGAATTAGTAGTTAATACAATTGAATCACCCGTTTCAGTGTCTCTTTCTCCGCCAACAAAGCCTCCACGCGATTGGCCAGTTCAGCGGCGGAGTTGTGTGATTCGCGCAGTTGATTTTTGAGCTCCTGCTGTGTGAAATCAATCTCAGCCAATCTGGCCTCATGCAGGGCGCCTCTGTCCAGGCGGCTGTTTATCTGTTTCAAACAAAATATCAGACCATTCCCATTGGTGAATTGTGGAGCCAATCACAAGTCCCACGTATTATTGATTACTTACAGCAGTAAAAACTTCATCGATGCTTGAATCAGGGAGTAATCCTAAGCGCTTAATAAAGACCGACAGGTGCTTTTGCATGGCGCCATTATTTTCCGGTGCTCCAAGCGATTTTCTCGACTCTTTCATTAACCTTCAAGAAGACAAGATGACTACTTATTGCTTTTTAGGTAGACTGAATTATGCTCTTATTTAGAACGCCTTTTTTGCGGGTACAATCATCATGTAATCTGAAGCTGTTTGGATTATTCCTGAGATTTCAAGTTCACCTGAATTCGTCTTCAAGCTCTGCCACCCTCATCTGCGCCTCCCGATTTGATTGGCGGAGCTCGTCGATTGTGGATGCGCTGTCATTCTTTAGAAATCGATATTCCTCGGCACCCTCCTGTTTCAAACGATAAACCTCTTTGTGCGCCGCTTCGAGGGACTTCTCTAGTGCATCGATTTGTGATTTGCCAAGCTTCACCTCACTCCGCAAACGGTCCACTTCATATTCGGCGGTGGCGTACTAAAAATCGATCTTGAATGCTTTCATCTTTAATGTCACTACTAATTACTGGCTAGTAGCTCAGGCATTTTGTGCTTCAAACTAGCTGAGGCGCCATTAGCACACATCACCAACATGACATTCTTTTCTGACAAAATAAGCGAACAAAAGAAACAAAAGCATCGCAAAGTTCAATCGAAGACAATACGCTTCCGGCCACTGTCAAATGTCAACTCTTTGAAGGCAAAGTAATTGGTAAATCATTTCACGGTGTTGCCAGGCGGTACCATGTTTCTTGTGAATTTTTCTTTGAATTAACGCGCCTTTCCTCACAAAAACAGAGAATTATGCATATAATCCTGCTAAAATGAGCTGAATATTCATGTGTTTGTGAAAAAAAGGTATAAAATTTATTCTGGCAACTAAAATAATGACTTGCTTTCTCCTCTAGAACAACATTGCGACACTGAGCTTCGGCCAGCTGCCGCAGATGCTCGTTTGTGTCCATGCGCCAGTGAGATTAAGAATGCGTTTGCCTCTATAGCCTCAGCTACCGCGGTTGCCGTGGTAACGGTTGCGCGGGGTGACGCTGAACGATTGTTTCATTTGTTTAAACTGGCCCAATGCAAAGAGCTGAAATACGTACCAATCAGCGTCAAGGAATATTCTTTCTCGCCTGGCCTGCACGCCCTATTAATGTGCGGTAAACGATTATGTGAACAAAATGGCGAATCCTGTGGGACGTAAATTCAGTCGTTGACAGGCAAAATGCACGAACTCATAATGTAATATCCTACGCATCTCTCACTTGGAACTGTTCTTGATGGTGCCTGTTTCAACCTGATTGTCCGGAGCCCCAACATAGCTACTGAAATCCATATGAGTAGCGCCAATTAAACATGATTTAATGCCTGCATTTGAACTTAGGCGGCATTAGAGTGCGGAACAGGGAAATATTTCCCTGTAAATTAAATCTCTCTACCTTTTGCCGACAATTGTCATCATAAATTATAGTGTCGCAAATTAGTAAAACTAATGTTGACGACATGTACATAAAATCTGGTTATTTGTAAGAAAGTATTTTTTAAGCCTATAGAGAGCAAAAAAAGGATAAATTTTCCACGATAAAACAGTGCATGAAATCCAACAAAATTAAAACAAACTTGTTTTAGTGGTACTTGGGCCAGAATTGTCAGGAACGCTTAAAATCTAAAGAATCATCTGCAAATAAATGTGAAGCAAGCAAACTGGCTAAACAATTATTTTCATCGATGCATTTTATGTAAACTTCTTTGAGGATGAATACTACAGATGAGGACAATTTCAGTAAGATAGTTCCCACACGCACACATTTTTAAACCACGCGCATTCGTCAACTAATTAATTTAAACAAGTGTTTTACTCACTTTAGCCGTTTTAACTTCATTAAAGTAACTAATTAAGTTATCACATCTTTATTTCTAAATCCCATTTTTCCCGAAATTCCGCCTTTTTAGATCGTAGCATATTTTAGGGTGAAAATCAGTTGAAGGCGTTGGGCGTGCCGATATATTCCTAACAATTGCGTCTTTAAATTCGCATGTTCCGATTTTCTGGTGATTGTATAACTCGAGAACGTCTTGATAACTTCTCCAATACGCAATCTTGTACCGTTGTACACAGTTATTTCGTACAATGTTGCAGTGCAAATAGGTACTACGTATTTTGTAAGCATAGTTTAAGTGACGGGCTGATACATCTCCGCCACAATTCTCGCTACAAACTCGGAACTGCCATTCCAACAACCAGTAACAATGTTTCACTTCTACTTTGTGGAAAAGTGCACCATGGACGTCACTCACCAACTTCGGCGAACAATTCTGGATTCGGTAGAGATTGCTGTAAGCAACTGGCGATCACGAAAACCACATGATCCGTAAATAAGAATTGGCCAATGGAAAGTGAATACGTATTATTCCAAACGATGAACGTTAAGAAAGTAAGCAGAACAAGCATTTAACGCTGAAGGCTGAACGTACACGCAAAAAAAACATGGAGGCACACCGGATTGGCTGCTTCAAACAATGCTCCACGTGAGCACAGCTCGTCTAGTGAGCGAATTGTAGTGGGTGCTCAGCTAACTTCCTGATTAAAACAACCAATAAATCAATAATATGCCAATAAATGTTGCATCGGTGTTATGCTAAAGCGGTGGCGATTGGCAGTGTGCAGGAGAGAGATGCCGTCCTGCTCGGGACGAGTCTGTTAGTCGTTGTGAATGGAACGAAACTCTAATTTTACGTTCATTGCACAATGCCACCGGAAACAGCGCAAAAGCCTACTGTATATTCACAAATACCCTATTAACCAGTACAATTGATACTCCCGGGAAGCATATATCGAAACGGAGTCTCTGTGGCCAGGGTGGAATGCTCATTTGAGGGCAGAGAAATCCAACTCACGATATTCAGACCAGGAAGGAGTTGCCATTCTTTTCGATCAATAAGAATGCGGCACGAGTGTTTATGTCGTTGTGATTGGACGGAAACGGGGAAGGCCAATCCAGCTTGCTCAGGTCAGATTTAAATTGAGCGGTAAATTAAGTCTTGGATTATATTCAGTTGGACATCCATCTGCCAAGGCAGACGATTCCGTTCCATTGGACAATCATTGGAAACTCCACACACGACGCAACCACACCCACCCGGTTGAGCTCTAAAGTGAACGGTTGTGTTCACGTCCCATTCAGTCTTCTTCTTCGTCGCGAGTATCAGGCAAGCGTGAACGGGCCAACGTAAATTCCGGTGTGATAAGGCGTCAAAAGCCTATCAAGTTATTCAATACTGGTTACTACAATACTTGCTAAATGATTTCCCTTGACCACAACGGGTGTATTTTTCCTGTGCCCATGATGCAGAACAAGTCAGATTGTGGCTTTTAAATGCAGCACATCTTGGCACTTGGTCGTGGCATCATGCTGCACAATTGCGATTGATCAGCTCCCCAGAGCAGACTGCCCACCTCTAATTGGTTAACAGCATTTTGACGAAGGAAACAACCAACCAGATTAGCCGTTTCACCTTCCGGCTTCGTTTTAGTAGCTCGTGTGTGTGTGTGTGTGTGTGTGTGTAACAAATAAGACTGGATGTGGGACAGATGGGAGATGATTTTCACGTTCCAACAATCAAATATATATTGTGATTGGTCGAAAGGTGTCCAATCAAGTTAGCGTAGAGGGTATTCTTTGTTTGAATGTGCGAGTTGGGGTCCCCTAACGTCCACGTAGTCAATGGAATTAATTGCAGATCGGTGTTTATCTCCCTCAACCTCAACCTCCAGCACCCAGATGTCACCTGTACCATCCATCATCCATTTCATCCAGTCACAATCACGCATAGCGGATCAATTACAATCGATTTTGAATTGCCCTTATAACGTAATACGTCAATATTCAAACTCAAAACA